CCTAGGCTTTCCTTCTGCCTCAGTGACTATGCCTTTACTATGTCCTTTGTTCATTGCTTTTCAAGGTAATCTGAAGTAATAAAGTGTTATAACCCAGTATTTGGTCATTGGATTTTGTTTTTAAAGATTTATTTATTTATACATACAGAACTGGGGTACAGGCCAGAGGTGCAGGGGGATGAGAGGATTCACCAGAGACAGAGTGAGGAGCAGAACAAGCAGATTGATGGAAATACACTGCTGAGGGAAGTGGCAGGCAAGACAGGAAAGGTCTGCCATACTATATGGGTCACCTCCCTGGCCAGGTATCAGACTCGTGCTGCAGTGGCTATGATAGCTTTTAGTGCTGTGCTTTAACCTGTTGTGCCACCAGGGAGGGCCCTAGTCACTGAATTTTATTTAACTTTCTAATGTCCATTAAATGTCAGTTATATACTGGTATCTTCCCAAATTTAATTCTCCAACCTCCATCTTTTCCTAGTTCCAGATTAATATATCCAGCTGTCTGCCCTACTAACCCTCTAGATAACTAAAACAATCTCAAAGTTAACTTGTCCAAAATTAATCTATTTCCTGTATATATTTTTCTCTCAGTCAGCCTAATTTCATTAATTACAATTCTGTTCTTCGAGTTGTTTAGGCCCAAAACCTCGGAATGGTTGTTTATAACTCTTTTACACCCTTTGTCCACATTGGGTCAATTTTAAGCTGTATAAAAAATCTTAACCACTTTTCACTATCCCAGCAGCTTCCACCCTATTGCAAGCCTGCATCTGCTCTTGACTGGTCACTTGTAGTTGCTCTCTGGTTGACATCTCCATTTTCACTCACGATCCCTCTGGTCTGTTTGGTACATGGCAGCCGGAAGGATTATTTGACAATAGAACTCATATCACAACATGTCTCTCAAATTGCTTTTCATCTCACTTAGAATCAAGCGAAGTCTTTGTCATGCCATAAAAAGTCACTGCAGTGTACAGTTGCCTGTACCCTTCTACCATTAAAACATTTGTCTCACTGACCCTTACTTCATTCCAGCCACACTGGCTTTCATGTCAGACATCTACCATCATTTTCTTACATCACTTATTCATATTTGTTGACAATAATTGATTTCTAAAAACAACATATTCTGTTCTACAGTGCCAGCAGGGAGTCTTATTTCTCAGTAGTTTGAGTGGAAAAATTATAATGTAATTTTTTCTCCCTTGTTTTCTTCAGTACTTCCTCAACTCTTTGGTAGAACGTTTTTGTGTTATATTAGGCAAAAGTAAGAACTAATTATGAAAGACATACTTATTCAGCATATGTGAATAATAGCCAAGAGTGGCCCACACTCTTGAGGCTAGTGCCTCTTAGCTCTGGCAACATTGAGATTTGATAATACTTTGTGAACTTTTCCAAAAGTCTACATATGAGGATGATATTAAACTAATTGTATTCAGAACAAAACTTGAAATTTTACTCATGCTGTATTTTGTTAAGAATTTTTGTTGTTTTTTGAGAATAAACTTAAGTTTCCTATGTAAACATTAACAAAAAATACATTAGACCTTTCGTCTATAATGATTGTATATTAAAACCAAGAATCATTCTCTAAGAAGTAACAATCTTTTGGGTATGCCATTATTTATTAAAGAAGAGCATGTATGTAGTGCATATATACTAATTACTAAAGTTTTTTTTTTTTTAAGATTTATTTATTTGTGCATACAGAACTGGGGTACAGGCCAGAGGCTTAGGGGCGGTGAGAAGCTTCACCAGAGACAGAGTGGGGAGCAGAACAGGCAGATCGACGAAGTACACTGCTGAGGGGAGCAGCGGGCGGGTCTGGAGAGGTCTGCCAGGCCATGTGGTCACCTCCAGAGCAGGCGGGAATCAAACTCATGTGGAAGTGGCTTTAGCTTTTTAGTGCTGTGCTTTAACCTGCTGCGCCACCAGGGAGGGCCTAATTATTAAAGTTTTAGTAAAAGACAGTTTATGAGAATATCACCTGGCACACAATTAATAGAAATTCCAATCAGACATCTTCTAAGTTAGTCTATATTTCTGTTTCATTATTTTTTGTAACAGTCTTTGGTGTTTTGAACATGTAGATTTTACTATTTTGGAAAATGATAAAATAAAGAACTCTTCAAGTTTTTAGCACAGAAAATACAACTGTTGTTGAATAAAATTCATTTTATCACCACAAAGTACCATGATTATCAAAATTTTTAGATTTTTGGCAAAGGATTATTTTAACAAAAGCAGCGTAATGGGGACTACAATAAAAAAAAAACATAATGAGTAATAAAGTCTTCCATTCTCATCCTATAGATATACCCCCCAAATCTTGAAGTTGTTTGTTTTTAAGACTTATTTATTTATGCATACAGAACTGGGGTACAGGCCAGATATGCAGGGGTGATGAGAAGTTCTACCAGAGACACAGTGGGGAGCAGAACAAGCAGGTTGACTGAAATACACTGCTGAAGGAAGTAGGGGGCAAGACCAGAGAGGTCTGCTGCGCCATGTGGATCACCTCTGGGCCAACTTTCGAACTTGCACTGAAGTGGCTGTGGCTTGCTTTAGTGCTGCGTCCTAACCTATTGCACCACCAGGCAGGGCCATCTTTGAAGTTGTTATGCCAGAAGAAGCAGATTGATTCCTTCCTTTGGGAAATAAAGATGAATCAGATTACCCTTCTTATTAACATTCTGTAATGATTTTCCATCACAGTTAGAATTAAACCCATACTTTCAAAGCTCTTAAAGACTTGGGTATCTTTTCCAACCTTGTGTTGAACCATGTTTTTAGCCTGCTCTCTGTGTTTCAGTCATGTTGCTTTCAGAGTTAAAACATATAATTTGTAAATATTCTTGAGATAAAATATAAACATGCTAAGCTAACTAATTTACATTGACTATAATTTTTCATCTATAACATTTAAGCGTGTGTCTTTAATTTTTTATTGTTATAGTATATATAACAAAATTTACCATGTTAGACATTTTTAATTGCGTGGTTCAATGTCACTAAGTACATTTACAATGTTGTGCAGCTAATCATTACCATCCATCTCCATAAGTTTTTCATCTTTCTAAAATGAAGCTCTACCCATTATGTAATACCTGTTTCCCTATCCAACTAGCTGCTGGCAATCTCCATTCCATTTTATTTCTAGGAATTTGACAATTTAAGTACCTTGTATAAATGAAATCATGCCATATTTGTTCTTTTGTGACTCTTCATTTCATGGAATGTCTTTTTTAATTAAAATAACATTGATTTATATACTGTATATGATTCAGAGGCAAAGGATCTCTTTACATGTATGTTACCACACCACACCCAATACCTAGACACCCATAATCCTCCACTATAATCCATAGAGCCCTCTCCCACCTTTGTTCCTCACTGGTAACCACAATTCTGTAGTCAGATTTCTAAGAATTGTTTTTGGTTTGGTTTTGTCTGACCATTTGTTTTCTCTATGTCCCACATCTGAGTGATACCACCTGTACCATTTGTGTTTCTCCTTATGATTTATTTTGCTTTGCATAATCACCTTCAATGTCATCCATGTTATCATAAGTGGCAAGGTTTCATTTTTCATAGCTGCCTAGTATTTTATATTCCACACCTTCCTAATCCACTCTTCTGTCCTTCAATACTTAATTGTTTCCATAACTTGGCTATTATTAATAGTGCTGCAATGAATATGGGAGTGCATATATCCATTCAAGTTAGTGTTTTTGTATTTTGGGGATAGATACCCTTACATTTGTATGTCAGAAATTTAAAATAGACACTTTTTTTTTTTTAAGATTTATTTATTTATACATACAGAACTGGGGTACAGGCCAGAGGTGCAGGGGCGGTGAGAGGCTTCACCAGAGACAGAGTGGGGAGCAGAACAGGCAGATGGACGAAGTACACTGCTGAGGGGAGCAGCGGGCGGGTCAGGAGAGGTCTGCCACACCATGTGGTCACCTCCCGGGCAGGCGGGAATCGAACTCATGCGGAAGTGGCTTTAGATTCTCAGTGCAGTGCTTTAACCCACTGCGCCACCAGGGAGGGCCCTAGACACATTTTTTTTATTTATATCACTTTCCAAGGTTGAATGAAGAAGACATAAGAAACTTGAACAGACTAGCCACATGCAAGGAAATTAAAATAGTAATCAGAAATCTCAAAAAAAAAAAATCCACATTTAGACAGTTTATTAGTAAGTTCTACTAAACTTTCAAAGGCGAATACTTATCCTTCATACCTTCATAAACCTTTTCCAAAAAAAATTGAGGAAGAGGGAATGCTCCCAGACACATTTTACGAAATCTACATTATCCTCAGACCAATAGCAGACAAGAATACCATACACACAAAAATAATAATAATGTCTTTCAGGCTCATCCATGAGCCTGAAATCCATGTCAGAATTTCATTCCCTTTTAAGGATGAATGATATCCTATTGTACATACATACCACATTTTGTTTATTCTTTCATCCCTGAATGGAAACTTGGGCTTCTCCTTTTTTTGCTGTTTTGAGTAATGCTGCTATTAACATAGGTGCACATATACTTGAGTACATGCTTTAAAATCTTTTAGGTATATACCTAGATGTGGAGTTACTAGGTCATACTGTATTCTACAATATTTTTTGAGGAACTACTATATTATTTTCCTAGCAGTTGCACCATTTTACATTTCTATCAGCAATGCACAGAAGTTTTAATTTATCCACATCCTGTCAATACTTGTTTTCTGTTTTTATCCCTTTTTTTTTTGAAGCGATCCTAATAGGTATGGAATGGTATCTCATTGTAACTTTGATTTGCATTTTTCTAATGACTCAGTGATCTTGAAGATCTTTACATAATTTGCTATTTATATATCTTCTCTGAGAAAATCTATGCTCATTTTTAAACCTGGTTGTTTTTTTGCTGTTGCATATAAAATTAGTTTTTTAATAGAAAACATATCCAAATACTTAAAATATGTCTTCTTTCTATTAGAGGTGCAAAGTATAATTTACTAGCTCATACCACCCTTACCTTGGAAAGTGCTGAGGATAATTTCAAGACCCATAATCTGTTTTTTAATGGAAATGGTAAGTTCATTCTACATATTATTTATTACATATATGTGATTACAGTAATAATTTCTAATTTTAATATGTTCCTCTGAAGTTGATGTTGGATTAAGCAATACAGGTAGGAGTGATTTGTGGGGGGGGCTTTCAAATGTATTCATCACAGTGCTGCAAAGATCAAGAAATGTGTATATCTTTTTAAATTACCATTTTTTAATTCTTTGAATAAATACCCAGAAATGGAGCTGTTGGACTATATATAAATATCCATAGTTTTTATCACAAGGACTTGACTAGTATATATTTCCACCAACAGTGTATGTTCTTCTCCAAATCTTCATTAGCCCGTTACCTCCTGCCCTTTTGACAGTAGCCATTCTAGGAGGTGTAAGGTGAAAATTCTGGATTCTTGCAAGATGTTCTTCACAGCTAATAGAAGTTTGGCAGTTTAAATAATTTTCTCTTTAAATAGTAAAGGTATAACTCATTAACTTTCTGCTTCTTTTACTGCTCTTAGAAATTATTTATCAGTGTCATTTCTATGATGCTAATTTTTTCTTTATCTTTTATTTTCTGAAGTTCCACTGTGATATAGAATTTAACTTTATGCTTTCTGTTGAATTCCATGAAGTTAAAATTGTTGGTGGTGTCTTATTAGTTCTGGACAAAATCTCTCTTGTCTATTCCAACAGTTGCAGCTCTGTGTTCTTGCTTTTCTCCTTTTAGCATTCCTATTAATTGAATGGAAATCCTGCTAATTCTTTAAGCTTATCTTATTGTCTCTCCTGTGTTAATTACTATTTACTATATACTTACCTTTTTACCTGTCTGTCTTTGCAGTTTTTCTGGGTATTTTGTGATTTCTTTTTCCCCCCTCATTTTCTTTCTTATCTACTGTTAAACCTGTATACTAAAATCTTCATTATAGTTATTGTATTTCTCAGCTTTAAAAAATCTATTTAACTTTTCCTAATTTGCTGTGCTGCTTTGTATTCTCTGTATATGCTGAATATGCATAGTGATTTCATGATGGCTAGTAATTCAGATAAACAAAGTCCAGGTAAGTTTCTGTTGATGTTTTACTTCTTGTTCTTATTCATAGTGACTCAGTGTTTACATGTCTGGTTATATTTAATCATGTATCCTTGGATTTGGAAGTTTTTACAAAGAAATTGATACTTAATATTTTTGTTTTGCTTCTGGAAAGCATGGGGATATATGTCAGTTTAGGTCCAATTTCTTCAAAGACCACGTCTGGATCTCCCATCCCCAAAGTGTATCCTGGGCAGACTAAGGTGATTACTTTGGGTATCAACTTAGCATGAGAAAACCCTTACAATGCTTAACATTGTTGAGCCCCTAAACTTTAACTTCTGTTTTGCTTCCATCTTCTTATAAAATTATTGGCAAATACCATCAGGAAAGACTCCACTTTCCATGCTCACTTAACTCATTGGCTCTTATTTACCCTCAGAGTTGTACTGATAACAGTTTAGTTACCTCTTTGGGGTTAGGAAAAGTTTTTAGATATATTTTATTTAGCATTCTCAGTGAGAGGACTGGCTTGAATAATTTAGCCTCTGTCTTCCCAGCTGAAGTCTGCAAGTATAAGCATTATCAGTTTCATCCAAAAATCTAGTAAGGTGAAATTTGTTGTCATTCCATTTGTATCAGTTCTCTAGAATTACCAACGTTACCACCATTTGTTGAGTGCCTATTATGTTATACCAGACACTTGTCTATGAAATAATCAGTCTTAAAAAAGAAAAAAATCCTACAATATATGGTGAGTGAGCCTTGTGGACTTTATGCCAGGTTATAGAAAGGTGCCATAGTGGCAGTACCTCATGAAAGGAGAAAGAGAATCTCTTAAACTCAGGCCAAGGATTTCAGAGGGAATAGAACAGTCACAGAAGGACAAACAGTGATTCTGCTTACATGAGGTGTCTAAAATAGTCAGTCTTAGAAGTAGAGGATAGCAGAGTAGTTTAGAAGTAGAGGATAGCAGAGCAGTTACCAGAGAGCGTAGGAAGGTGAAATGGGGAATTGCTAATCACCACATAGAAAGTTTCAGTTATACAAGATGAGTAAGTTTTAAATTGACGAATAAGTTTTGGGGGTCTGTTGTTCAACATTGTGCCTATAGTTAACAATACTCTATTGTACTCTTAAATATCTTTTAATGGTAGACCTCCTGTTAGATGTTCTTTTTTTTTAAGGTTGGTTTATTTATTTATACAGAACTGGGGTACAGGCCAGAGATGCAGAGGGTGAGAGGATTCACCAGAGACAGAGTGGGGAGCAGAACAGGCAGATCAATGCGGTACACTGCTGAGGGGAGCAGCGGTGGTCAGGAGAGGTCTGCCACGCCATGTGGATCTCCTCCGGGGCAGGCGGGGATCGAACTCATGCGGAAGTGGCTTTAGTTTCTTAGTGCAGTGCTTTAACCCGCTGCACCACCGGGGAGGGCCCAGATGTTCTTAATACAATAAGATATAAACAAACACATCTTTCAAGTAGTGTATATTCTTATCCTCTGTGAGATGTACTTATGAGGAAACATTACAATAAATTGCTTAATAGTGGCGCCATCAGCTTTAGAGTCATATTCTATGTCTACTGCTGATTAGCTCCATGACCTTCACAAGTTCCTCATTTTGTTACCACTTACATTTTATAGATGAGTAAAATACAGTTTAGAGAATGTAACGTGCTAGATTATGTAGCTGGCAAGTGGTTGAACCAGACTTTAAATAACCGAGGACAGGCTATGCTATGCTTTCTGGTCAGGCATGATTACTATTAAAGCACCCAAAGACTCAACATACTGTCATTGTATGAATAATGGAATTGATGATGAAAGGCCCCATTCTTTCAGCCAAATCATCTGTGGGAAAGAATAAAATTCACAAAGGGAACATCAGTTTTAACAGTGATTCCTCAGTTGCCTTCAATGTTCTGTATCACTATATTCTCCTCTAACAAAATACTCATGGGCAAATAAGCTTGGGAACTGTGTGGTATGACTCTTTCTTAGAGAAACACAATATTAAATGTATTAAAGACTAGGAAATACCAGTATTTAAACCTAGCATTTTCAAACTTTTGATATTAGAGCTTAAAGATTCACTCAAAAAAATTTTAAGGACACTAACTTGTATGCCTCTTGTAATGTGATAGGTATTTCCATAAACGTGTGTAAATTGAAATTTTGTAAGTGATATTTTGAAGAAGAAAATTTGAAATTAAAAAGAAGCAAAAATTTTTACAGGAAAAAAATGCTATCCTCTAGTTTTCTCATTAATATAAATCTTTAACATGATGGGTTTTCTTAAAAAAAGTTATATCAACGTGTGACAAATACTATAAAAAGGAAATAAAATAATTTTGACATTTATAATTCAGTTATTGTATTCTTGCTAATTGAGGGAAAGTCAAAATGATATGTTAAAATTTATAGTTGTCATCAAGAAATTTTTATACTTTTTATAAAACAATGAAACCACATTGAGAAGTTTGACTCACACGGAACTGAGATGTTATCTGGATTCTTTCTCTTGCCTGTGTTTTGTTTTTTTGTTGTTGTTGCTGTCATTTTAAAACTCCTTTTTGTTCCCCATTTGAAACTACAGATGAAATAGATAAAGTAATGAAAAGTCAGACTGCCCTTTCACTTCCTGTTTCATCTTGTTCTAACACCTCCCTTGGTTAGAAAAAAAGAATTAAGTATTTTGATTAAATGTGTTGCTCATGGACTGAGAGCACTAAAAAATGGAAAATGTATGGTTTGGGGCATTTTAAAAAGTACCCATTATATGTCAGACATAATGGTAGAGGTCATAAATACATTATCTTGCTTGATTTTCACAACCTTTCTACTTAAAAAATAGGTAGTATTCTTTAAAATGAGAAATTGATTTTGAGATAGGTTAAGTGAGAACTTATATGCCATATTTCTTGTCAGGGATAGAGAAGAAGCTGTGATTCGTATTTTATTCCTCAGTGGCCCCAGGTTGGAAATAACAGGTGACGGCAAGATATATGGCAAAGTGGCTGTGGAGCCAGGACTTCTGTATCAAACATCCCTTTCCAGAGCTACAGTCAGTAAAGAGTTGTCATGGCATGCTATGAAATCTGAACTCATTTTACCAAAGACATATATTTCTAGGTGGTGTATTTAGGTTCTAAGTATATTATTGAGTGACAAACTTTCATGAATTGTTCTTAAAAATGAATCATCATTTATGACTTCATTTCTTTAGGGAGTGTACCCTAAGTTAAAAACAACCAGCGTAGAGACTTTAGAACACAAACCATTCCTAAGTCAGGAATTGCTCTATAAAGAAATTTGCTTTCAAACATTAATAAATCACAGATACAGTACTCAGATGTGTGCTTTTATAGAATGTTTATTTCACTTCCTGCCTATTTTAGGCAGATTCTCATTTATTTATTTATATCTGCTCTTTTAAATCATTGCATGTATTTTATTTATGCATTTATTACTCCCAAGTTAACCCTCTTTTTCCCTAAAAACCAGTAACTTTAGCAAGGTATTAATTTAAAAGATCTGAAATGTGGTAGATAATTTGTTGTGTGCTATTATATAGTAGTGTACTGAGCAGTGAAGTGGATAAAAACTTTTTTGTTTGTTTTACTTTGTACTTTTTGTGTAGGCTGATCTTTTTCCTTTAATTGATGTATCAGGCCTTGGCTACGTTGCAGTTGCATATTAAACTATATTTTTAAAGCTTTACAGATGTCTTACTTCTTAGAATTACTATTCAGATAACAGCAACAGTCAGTTGCTGGCCATTTTATAACAGCAACAGTCAGTTGCTGGCCATTTTATAGGCAATACCAACAAGGATGCAGGAAAAACTTTAAGAATCATTTTTTTTGTGGTCTAATATGATCACATACTGATACACAGAATAAATTATATTTGCCTTCCTTCCATAATAATGTGAAGATAATATGCTTAACTGCATAACACATAACATCTTAATGTTTTTTGAAAAAAATTAAATACTGGCTAACTTACAGAAAAGTTACAAGTTGAATGCAAAGGTCTTTTAAAAAAACAAAAATATATACAAAACAAGTTGCTTACATGATGCTCCATTACTCCTAAATATGTTATTATATAATTCCTATTAACAGGACACATAGCTACATTGCTGCAACTATCCAAGTCATTAAGTGAATATTAATACATAATTACCATCTAATCCTCACAATCCATTCAGATGTTGTTCACCGCCCCAGTGATATCCCTGTGGCAAAAGGACCTTGTGCAAAATCACATTATAATTAAATATCATGTTTTAATATCTTTGAATTTTGACCAGTCCTTTGGTCTTTCCTTGATAATTTTAAATTGTTTTGTAGAAGTCTCCTCTATTTGAGGTTGTTGTTTTCTTGGCATAAGAATCAGGTATACATCTTTGGCAGGAATATCACAGATGTGGTGCTACATTTTCATTGCAGTCTATCAGGTGGCATGTAATTTTGATTCATCCCTTTTCTGGTGATGTTCGCTTTGATCACTTGATTAAAGTGGTGTCTGCCAAGCTTCTCTCTTACAAAGTTACTCTATTTCCACCTTTAGTATAAAAGGAATGCCTACTTTGTGACTTTCAGTTTATTCGTTTGTTTATTTATTACCACTGTGGGCTGTTTTTCTACTTCATGCAGTACTTCATAATCTGTTAACATCATTATTTATTTTGAAGTTCAGATTGCCTTGAATTTGACCAGTGTGAGCCCATTCAAAAATTCTGTGTCTTTTTAATCTGTCCTCAGCATTTTTTGAGTACTTCTTGGCTTTATGTTATAACAAGATACAGGATCACCATGTACATTTCCAGCCTCTGCTCTGGAGTTCGGTAGTTTCTCCAAGCAACTCTGGTTCTTTTAATTGAAATCGTATTTAGAGGACATGATCTAATTGCTGTTCAGAGTGCCATTTTGGTGTTGCTTTTTCTTATAGGCCTCTGATTAAACAGTGCTACATACAAACACATTTGCATATATATTTTGTCTTGGTTTTCTTAATCTTACATATGTTGAAAACTGTATGTTCACACATTCAATCCTAATATTCAGTAATACATACAGTCCTAATTTAGTACTACATAGTTGGTTTTATTAATAATACACATTTCTCTTTTCTCTGAGCTGAGAAACCCATCTTTTGTCTTTTGTGTTTTTTTTCTCCTTAATCAGTCATCTTAAAAGCAACTGTTCTCCCATCTCTGCCATATGGACTCTTTTCTTTCTTTGAGGGAGTTCTGATTTACCATCCTGGACTGCCTCTTGCCCTATGTGGACACTCTGGGCGCTGTTCAGGCTCCTAACCCTCAATACCGGCTGCCGTCACCTCCACTCCCTGTGGACATCTTCCTCAGCCTGCCTGTTCTCTGACACTCGGTGCCAGCTGCCCCTCTGCTTGGATGCCCTTCTCTCTCAGCTTATGGCTCTGATACACTCTGTGGGGAACCCATGATAAATGGCTGCCTTGGCCTTCTCAAAATCTGACTCCTAACAGTGGACACTCTCCTTACTCTGCTTGTGTTCTGACACATTATGCAGTCCCCTGGACAGATAGCATCCTCATTCTGCTTGGGCCCTGCCTCCCCACATTAAACCAACCCCTGAACAGAGATCTCCCTCAGGTTCTCGACTCTGTCCCATGTGATTGCTATCAGAAAGCCCATTTAGGGACTAACACTTAATGTGGGCGACTCTCTTACTCCCTCATCCTGCCGGCCCTGGCATCCAGCTCTGGCACAACAGTTTTTCCCCAGCCTCTGGTACAGATCTCAGTCTTGAGGAATCCACTTAATGATTTACACTTATATTGTTCAACAAGTTAGGGGAGGTGAGAAAGTGGGAAAGTGTTCATTAAATTATTTTAAAGTTTCGCTCTGGTACATGTTATTCAGAAAACCACTTTGTTAATTACTGTAATGAAATTCAGAATACAATTTGACATACAAAGGTCAGTTTTATAATAATTTTTATATGAAATATGTTTACTTATACCTTCATTGATTAATAACTTTAAGCTTCAAAAGGGATCAAGAGAATAAGTTTCCATGTCTTTTCCAGGTGACAGTAGGCAGAAACTATTCATTTATTGTTTTTCTTTACTGTTTAGTCTGATTGTACCATTAAATGGTTACTGTTGTTTGAATTGGATGAACCTTTGCTTATGTTCTTATATTAAAAAAATTGCAAATGAAAAAAACCAAATGTAATTTTAACTGGACTTTTTTTTTTCTCCTTTTGCTAGAGGAGTCTTCATACTGGCTTCCTTTGTATGGTAACATCTGCTGCCGATTAGTTGCCCAGCCAGCTTGTATGGCTGAGAATGCCTTTGCAGGATTTCTTAATCAACAGGTTAGAGGACTTTGCATATCCTACAAGTATCACTCCAACTTAGATCTAAAAATAGAAGCGATTGCTTGGTCTTCTGATATTGAGAAGTATTTTTTAAAGTTCTCAGTGGTAAACATGCAATGTGGGATTTGGGGCAGGGGATATGGAGGTGAAAAGGTGGGAAAGAGGGGTGTGATTCAGTTGTGCTGACTAAGGAGCTACCTTTCCAGTTCCTGTGCTTCATTAATAGCAGCAACAGAGTAGTCAAACAGAGAGGGACAGCTCAACACCTTGCACATAAAGGCCTTTCTGCCAGACAGCTTTGGGCACAGTTTAGGCATCTAAGCTTTCAAAATTGCCTCTGTGCCATCTCCTCCTGATTTATTTATAACCATAGTTATTGTATTCAGTAAATAATTAATTATGGGCTTCAATGAATCAATAGCTTTTTTTCTAAAAAATTCCATTAGGAGGAAAGAAAATTTGCATTCTTACAGGGCCATCAACATTTTCCAGTGTTCTGAGAACAGTAAGAAAAATTATATTTTGAACATTGAGAGTTATTTTTATAACTTTCCTGAGTCATTAGATGAATGCTGTGGAATTCTAAGCACTAATTTTTATTAGAATAGCGTCTCTAAAACTGCATTGATTTATGATTTTATGGTTGTAAAAGTTATGTGCTAATCATTATCTCCATTTTCCTTAGTGCTTTTTCAGAATTCCAAGCCTTTTCTTTAATTTTAACTTACTCTTTGCTTTGAGGATTTTGAGTTACTTTCTGTACAGTAAATTAAGGGGTAATGCTATCACATTTAAAGAAAAACCAAGTAACTTTAATAATTTAAGTATTTTGCTGACTTTAAGATGATAATGATTATAAGTTGATAGTTCCCTTTCCTGATTTTTTTTTCCAGCAAATGGGAGAAGGTCTGATGAGTTGGAGAAGGTTGTATTGTGTTTTGAGAGAGGGTAAACTATATTGTTTTTATACACCAGAAGAAATTGAAGCTAAAGTGGAACCAACTTTGGTAGTACCGATTAACAAGGTAAATAAAATAAATAGATGTAACATTTTATGAAGTTTATTTTTTCCTGTACAATTTATATTATTACCATCTTGAAAAGGAAAGCACTATTGAAACTGGATAGTTCATAACAATCATTTGGTCTTATTTTTCTGTTCATTATAGTCGTTGTAGAGGAAATGTACTATATTTCCTAAGAAAACATAGTCATTGGAAATCTATACCAGTTAGTGGATCTTAGAACAGGGACTGTAACTATATTAAACAGGATGCTTTAATTTTTTATGAATTTATTTAATTAAGGGATTATATAAACACAAATGATAGTTCATGTTATAGATTGCTCATTCTAGTTAATATTCAAATGCACCATTAAAAGATATTTTTGGGTGTACTTTGTGATTTCTTTCGGAATTGATTGATAGGCAATTGTCCAATATTCCATTCAAGACAGAACAGACAAACAGTCCAGTTAGAATACATGAGTACTTATACTGCATTTAAAAAGTAGTACCATTCCACCTAGACAATCTAGACATCAAGTTTATATACATGCATGTATTTATACATAGAGAGTGGTTTGACACAAAGGAGATTATTAAGTTTAGCTACATTTTTTTTACCCAAAAATCTGTAATGAAAACTTTTCATTAAGGCAAACTTTTTTTTGGCATGCTCTTAACTGTATCTTTTTATCCAAGTCTAGTTTATTAGTAGAATCCTTTCCTCCCCCATTTTATGCATTCCTACTCTAGAGTAGTCTAGAAATGCCATTATTTTTAGGGCAGAATACGATTTTTTTTTCTACCTCTAGAAGTACCTAGTTGTCTCTAGCTGTTTTGCTTTGCTTGCCTTTGGAATGGTTGAATTAAAGTAAATGACAAAATATGAACCACCACATTTGTAGACTGTATGTTGTCTTTAGATTGAATAAAATGTAAAGTTTTGTGGCCTGACGACACAGATACTGGCCTGCTGATCTATAAGGAGTTGAATTAATTGTTATGATTTTTCCAGTAGTAACATTTTATCTTTTTATACTGCTTTTAGAAGTAGCATTATTACATTTTACTGGAGGAACTTCTTCAGTGAAACCTTTTACTATATAATTAAGTCCTCTTAATTTGTTTGTTTGTGTATTACAAAGTTTAGTTTCTCTTAAGTAGTTTATCTCAGTATCCTAAAAACAATAAATGTATTTCAATTTAGAAAGTCAGGTTTTTGAAATAATAATTCTATTTTTGTAAAATTAATTTTTTATTACATACCAATTCCTTACTTTACTTTGTGTTGCTTTCCCCAACAACTAGACTTTTGAAAATGTTAGATGCACAGGAGAATTGAAAGAAGAGCTTATGGATGCCTGAATTCCTTTGCCTACATTCTTCATCTGCAGTAATCATTTTGCTACTTTTGCTTTCTTTCTAGATAGTGTAACATTTTTTTTCCTGAACCGATTGTAAATAAGTGGCAAAAAGCATACCATTTTTTTCCTAGAAAATTTCTCCTAAAAGCAAGGATATTTCTTTCATAACTCTATTGGTGTTACACTCAAGAAATTTACTGCTATATAATATCATGTACTATACAGAACGAATTGTTCCCAAAATGTTGTAATTTTAATCTGTTCTTTGACCCAGAATCCCCACCTAGTATTACAAATTGCATTTGTTTCCTTTCCATCTAAAGGAAACATCCTTTCCTCTTACTGCCTTTCTCTTTCTTTTCACTACTTTGCTTAGTTATAACAATTGGTTATATTTAACCAATTGTTTCCTAGATTCAGGTTATTTTTGACGAGAGGTCTACATAGTATTTTTCTAATCTGTTCTTTTTACAAACTCAGTAGATAGTAAGACGAAAATCCTACCTTTTTTCTTATGTCTTGTGCAAATGAATATGGATAGTCATAAGCCAAGTTAAAATGTAATGTAAATAAATATTTTGAAAGTCATTTGTTTTATTTAAAAACAGTGTTCAAGGTATTCATTTCACCTTGCCTCAGTCCCATAAGGTAGACAGAACAGGTAAGTCTGCACGGTTTTACAGGCATATATTATTTCTGTTTTACAAGTGAAGAAACAAGATGAGATAGAACTTGTCTAGCTAGGTAACTAAAATTATATGACTCATTCTTTTCCTAGTGATTAGGAAAAAAAAAATAAAATTTCATAGGCTAGTTTTCTGGGTTGTCATAGACAAACTGCTACCTCTGGCCTAAATTTAGAAGGCAAAATTGAATTTTTCCTATCTCCATATATACTCTGAAACAGTTCTGAAAGTAAAAAGTATCTCTCAGAAGAGGATCTGAACCTGGAGCCATAATCTGTGTTATCTATAGGCAATGACTTAAGAATCTTTACCATTTAAATTTAAGAGGGACAATCATAATGGAATTCCTTTGTTATTGTAGCTAGGGTATCTATATTTTCTTGTCTGATGACAAGGGTCTAATTCCAGGAAAGTGGTTAACAGTGTTTCATGGTCTGACTGAATTGACCTTTTTTCAATTGACTCATTTTTCCTCATGGTAATAAAAGCTGACAGCCCAGCCACTGATGGGATTCTGTAGTCAATCAGTTCCATTATTAAGATGACTGAAATCAGCATACTTAGAAATCCCAGTGGTGATTCCACAATTGACCGTTATAAATTCACAGAAAAATGATTAATCTAGTAATCTATATAGAATCAGCCCTAGAATGAAGGGACAATATGGGCTATATTTGACCCTGAGGATTGATAACATAAATCCTTCATTGTAGTTTTTGTCTATAATGTAACCTCTAAAAGAGAACTTTAACATTAAGCCATGAGATTAGACTGAAGTTTGGGAAGATTAATATAATTTAGTTGCTGAGCTCAAATATTAAAGTGATAACAAAAGCTCCATTCTCTAACATTGTAATATTGACAACTTAATTTTCTCCAATACCGATTCCTGCCCTTTTTCTGTAGATTTTTTTTCTCTTTGCAATTCCTGCTTCTACTGAAGGTTTCATTTGAATTCTACTTGTCGGAAAATCTCACTCATACAAATAAACACCATTGATCTCCTTATTTAAATGTTAGATATTATCTCAGACAAGAAATCTATTTGGTACTTCTAAAAACAGTCATATATCTCCAATGAAATCAAATTGCTTATAGTTTTTTTCTCCGCTTATAAAACAATTCAAATTTACCAAGAAATTGGAAACTATAGTAATCATTATGTCATATATACCAAGTAAATTAAAAAATTAATATGTTGTCAAAATTTCTTTCTTTTTTATCTTTATCTTTGTTAAACACTTCATATTTTATTTACTTTTTAATCAGTTTTAGAATAGTATAGATTGCATAAAATGAAATTTACCAATTGTAAGTAATCAAATGTTTTTGACAGTATACAGTTGTGTAGTCATTGCATTATAGTTTTTAAATCTTTTTTTGTGAGAACATTTAATTTCTATCTCTTAGTAAATATCAATTATTCAGTAATTATCAACTGTAGTATGTTCTTCCTTAGATCTCTTATGTTTGAAAGTTCCATAAGTTTACCTAGTCTTTGCTGACTAAGTTTAACAAATACCTCCATTATTGACACTTCATCTTTCAGTGCTCTTTTTTCACTGATATAAAAATAACAATTTTGTCATATTTTCCTAGAATAACACTTAGATTTATTTCTGGGCTTGCTATACAACGTTCCTCACCTGAGTGAATGGTATGTTCTGAAGTACAGTATAAAGGAATGTAATATCTGCAAGAAAGAATGAGTCTCCAAAGTGAGACAGTGACTGAGTAATTCATGAAAAAAAAATTTAAACAGAGACATGGCATACTAGATGATTAGAACATTCTATAAAGAACGTCTTAATGAAAAGAATATGTTAATGTCCCAGGAACAGATGAATAAAAATATACAAATTAAAACTGGAAAATTTTCATTTATATCCTACTACTCTAATCTAGTAGATATGTTCAGTTCTTTATCTTATACTCTTTATTTGTATAACTCAAAAGCCAACTTCCTGAATATACCAAATCCATAAGCTTTTGGGGGACATTTTTGGTTTTTGTCTCTCGAACTCCTTCCTGTACCTTGTCTTCATTCTTGTTCTTAGAACATTTTTATTCCTCATTTCATTTCTGAAGTCCTCAGCTTCTGGTTTTACCGCTTTGTTTGTTTTCTCTACACTTTCTCTGGTCTCTTACCTGAAAAGATAGGGTCTCTTCATGTCCACTAGTTTCTCCCCATTCCAGGAATTTGAAATTTTACCTTTCTTTATTAAAAATGCCTTACTCTAAGCACTGCTTGCTAATCCTAAACTCTAGATAGCTGCAACCATGAAGATCTGTTAAAGTGTTTGGCAAATCACGAAGGACTTGGTGATGGTTCAGCAGTGCAGTGGTGATGGGAAACTTCACGTACGGGGAGAAATCAGATATTGTTAAAAAATGAACAGTGGTGCTGGAAAATAATAACAATAAAAGTGTTGGGCAAACCAAAATTAGTCCACTTGCTGAAGATTTGTTGCCAGCATTTTATTTTTATTTCTTGTATCAATCGTTTATTTAATTGTCTTTATATTTTTTCTTTTAATTACCAGAAGGAAAATAAATGTACTCATATCTTTTTTTCTCTGCAATCCCTTTATCCTTTTGTCCCTTCCCTCCTCACTTCATCTCAGAGTTCTGAGGATGTTTATTGATATCCATGGTTTTTGAAAGTGTTTTGTATTGTAGAGTTGTCTCCTGTTAAATACCCAGTATTTAATTTTTCATTTTGACTTTGTTACTACATATAATTATTTTCAGATTCTCTCCATTTTGTTGACTGCATTTCATCCTTTCTTACTGCTATATGATATTTCATGATGTGCATGTACCATATCTTCTTGATCCAACCTTCTGTTGATAGACATTTAGACTGCTTCTGTATCTTACTTATTATAAATAATGCTGCTATGAACATTGTGGAATATAGCAGTACAATTCACAATAGAGAGAAGCAGCTTGTCTAGAGAGACAGAATT